GGCGGCGGGCGGCATGCGGCAAGCGCGCGGATACAAGTCATATAAGATACAAAAACAGTGTACTAAGGCACGATTTATAAGTGATTGCCGCGAGCTCGGGCAACGGACGATTGTGTACCACAGCGCTCCCATGTACAGTCGCGGAAATCCGCAGTGTTACAGCATTGCGCAAACGACTCAATAATAAAAAGCAAGCCGTATGACCAAACATTTTCCGACAAATATAAAAGCTGCCTTTTATTGTTTCGTGTCTTAATGCGTTTAAAACATTCAAATAAGTGTAGTTTTAATTGCAACACCGACAAATTCCCCGACTGTACAATACAAATACAACCCTAAGCACTTATTTCAGTGTAAGCCTTAATTTCAGATTTCCCTCGAGCCAGGGTCACTATGAATTAAATTACTTAAGTTTGTATCATATTTTAGTATACCATTGACATAAAAATCATTATTTCACTATTATTGCTTATTATAACATTACCAACCTCGACTGTCCCCTGACTCGATGGAAATGAGTTCCTTTACTAGTATAAAACGAGATATGCGTTGTAAAATTTTATTATTAATTGGAACTAAATATCTGTTCAATATTGTGTAAACATCACAACCCTTAATTAGGGATGCAATAAAAATAGTCACTTATATGAATTTTACACAACACATTACATAAACCCTTCACAGATGGAGTTCTTTACAAAAATTTCTATAAAACTCTAGTATAAAAACATAGTTTTCTCTTTCATTGTCATTGAAAATATTGAGATAGCTATGTTTTCAGACTGAAGTTTGAGTAGAAACTTCGAGTTAATTCGACATGTGACATTTACTATACTATACAGTATTAACTTTATTCAAACATTGTATAGACTTTATCAGACATTTTGGTTGCTCGGAATATTGTTTTGGTCATAGCGCAGTTGTGGTGGCGACACTGCGCAGTTATGGTGGGGACACTGCGCAGTCAGCATGGAGAGACTGCGCAGTTGTGGTGGGGACACTGCGCAGACGGCATGGAGACACTACGCAGGTGTGGTGGGGACAGGGCAGTTGGAATGAGAACATTTGGCAAATGGGGATGGGGATAGCACAGTGGGGGGTCACTGCGCAGTGAGGGAGACAATGACCTTGAGCCACCAAAATATTTGAAATGACATATATCTTAATTGTTTCCGTACGTTATAAAGTTCGCAGTTAGTCGATTTCTCTAACATTAACATGATTTTGTGTATGTTTCACACAACAATGTATTAACTCGTATTAATCATAAAAGATTTTTAGTGTATAAAAGAATTAATAATTTTATTAAAATTCATGAGCCTTCGATGATTTACCACTAGTAATTGTAATTTGTGTAATATAATTAAGAAAGCTTGGTGTTTACTTAAGCTCTCGCGTTTATTACTATTAGGATGGACAGAGTTCTGTCAGTTTGTCACTAAAATGTGACACCTGGCTATCTGTCAAGTTTACCAGGTGATATCGCATTGTAAGAAAGCTAATCAAAATGATTTATCATTCTTGTCAATATTCGCATCGACATCTAAGCGTCGAACGTGATCGTAAAATTGTTAGTTCCTGCGTTTTTACAAATCATTTTGTTTTATTGGAATAGTGAGGTGATTACAACAAATTTATCAGCAATAAGCGAACATTGGTCGTGTTGTTGCTAACATTTGCAGTATCAGTGTGACTGCACGGCTGCAGTGTTGGCTATGCGCAGTGCAGTGCTGCAGTGCGGCAGTGCTGTGCTGCAGTGCTGCAGTGCAGGGTGCAGCGTCAGCAGATGCTCTGCAACATCAAATTATGCATATTACA